TGGGCTTTGGATCTCATTCTGACCTTTCTATTACCCACTCTAAACTCCAAAACCCAAACCCACTGCCATTGAGTCAATTCTGACTTCCAATGACCCGATAGGACAGAATCTACCAGTTCCTGTGGGTTTCCAAGACTTTGAATCTTTATGGGAGCAGACAGCCTCCTCTTTCTTCTAAGGAGCAGCTGGTGGCCTTGAACCATCGACCTTGTGGTTCCCAGCCCAACTGCTGATGCATTATGCCACCAAAGCTCCTGATATGCCCTCCTAGCTCCCCCACATTATTGTCTTTTTTCACTACCAAGGAGAAAAGAGCACACAGAGAAAAATAAGGTCCCTTCCAAGTCCAGTGTCACATAGTTTTTTGTGAAACAAGAGACAGTGTGGCAGTGAGAGCAGGGAAGTGGGGGTGGCAGGAAGAGGTGTGGGGTAAGGAGGAGAAAATGGCATGGAGCAGTCTGGGCCAGCTGCCTGGAGGAGGTGACATCCCAACTCCATGTTTTCTCTGACCAAGCACAGTTCACACGTGTTTCTGCTCCACAATAAAGCCAGTTCAGTCTCTAGCCTCTTACTCCCAGAGAGGTTGCTTCTGACTGGTGTGACCCCATGGTCAGGCAGAGCTGCCCGCAGCATATGACCCTTCAAGCCACAGGGGCAGCACCCTGACCCCAATCAGGGGCAGGGGACACTTGTCAGAGTGAGCATGACCCCAGGAAGGCCCTGATGGGGCTGGAGGCACTGCCTCCCCATGGAGTCCAACATCACCCGCCTGGGCCCATCTGCTCCTCCTGCCAACGCTATGAGGCCCCCGCAGGGCTGCCCTACCCGCTCACCAGATGGAAGGCCTGACTCACAAAGAGCCCTCCCCTGGTGCCCGCATATCTTTGTAAAATTCTCAGAGATGAAGACGATTTGGGGAGACAGGCCAGCTGTCCCCACTGAGTTCCCAAGTGCCCTCACTCCTACCCCTGTACCACGTGTCCTCCTCCCTACTGGGTCTTCCACCTCCTCCCACCCCACCTCTGCTCTGGGCACTGTAAGCATCTCTGTGGCTCAGTGTGGGGAGCTGGGAGGGTCAGAGAGAGCAGCGGGGAGGGACAGCGTGGACCTGGAAGGTGTGCATCTAAGCATGCTCCCAGCCCTGATATCACTGCCCGCTCTTTAACTCAGCCCGAGGACTCCTGCAGCATGCTAACACTGTGAGCTCCCCACCCCACCCCACTGAGCTGGTCCTGCCACCTGTTTTACATGCGTGGGAAATCTGGACAGTGAATAAAGACCAGGGAAGAATTAATTGGCTTGTTTGTTTGTTTCTTATTTTGGGGGACTATACTTCACATATCGTACAATTTAATCGTTCAGATTATATTAAGATTTGTATTTGTTCAGATTATATTAAGATTTGGTGATGGATATCACCACAATCCATTTCAGAGCATTTTCTTCTTGTATTCCTCGTCATTAGCCCCCCCATGCCCCCCATCTTCCCCTGCCATGCCCCTGAGTCATTAACATCCCAGTTATTGACTCGACAGTCCCCTCGATCCTGGGCTTCGTATATGGAAAACCATGTGCAGTACAGACAGGAAGCAAACCATCAAACAAATGAATGAATGAAAACCAGAAAAACCTCATTCAAAAAGAAAGCAGAAGATATTAAAAACTGAAACAACTTTAAAAGGGGTCAAAAGG